CAAAAATGCAAGAGTAGTCTTTTAGGAAGTTTTCGACTCAAAGAAAAAATAAAAAGCACTCGCAGAGACTTCTCCTGTTTCAAAGGGTTTTTTTTTTTTACTTATAAAAGTAACAAAAAATAATGTCCGAGTTGACTTCAAATATAAACGTTTATTTGTGGTACAAAAACCTTTTCACTCCTCACTCCTTCACCAAACAATCAGGTCAACCCCAGCAGCTGCTTCTGCCTGTTAATCACTGCAGGAGGCTGACTGACAAGGAGGAGGGTCTAAGCAAAATAAATACAAAATAAATATACAATAGATCTATCATTCACATAACCTAGATCTGCGAAAATTAATTTAGCAAAAAATAAATGAATCTAATGGTTAATAGGCTCCAACATATGTGAGTAGAGCTCATCACATTCCTCCAATGAAACTTTAATATCTATCTTCCTACTCGTGTCTCTATCTTAGCAAGAGTTTGACTTCTCAGTTTAGCATAACTGTCAGGTTTTGGACTTGAGACTACAGGTAATGTCGCTACTGAGAGGATGGTGAAACTAGCGTATGACGTGAGGAGGGTGACGATCATGCATTTTACGTGACAGGAGCAACCCCAGTCTATACTATAAAAATCTGATTAAGATTAGAGCCTAAATACATTCTATTTCCAAAACAGAAAGGCTACGTAATGTTAGCCAGCTAACAAATTACTATTGCTAAGTAATTCCCAGTAAGTCAATATTTAAAATGCTTTTCTAAACAACTGTTGGAAGATGTCAGTGATTTTAGTGAAACTTAACAATACAGCACTGACAGGCAGGGGTGTATATGTTTCCTAACTGTGGCTAAAGCTGCTGCTAGCTGGTTTATTCTCCGATCGGAGGCTGGGTCCTTTAAATACAGTTGGAGAATGGTAAATTGACAATGACTGATAACGGCTAACACTTAAATACTGTTTTATTAAAGTTAATACAGAAAGTGAACCTCTAAACGTTACAGCACTGACAGACAGCGGGGTATATATGTTCCCAACTGTGGCTAAAGCTGCTGCTAGCTGGTTTACTCTCCAATCGGAGGCTGTTTATTATATACACAGTTAGAGAATGGTGGATTAACAATGAGTAATAATGGCTAACACTTAAATGCTGTTGTAATTAACCTTACCGTTTAGTATATCCTTAAGATAATGAGTATCCGTGAATTTTTCAGTCAGGTTTCCCGAGGCAAAATCACACCAGAAGTAAAGATACACCTCTTCGAGTTACGGCGCCCATTGTCTGACATCACTGTGAAAAGGGTCTCCAGAAAAACTTCCGGTTCAGAAGTAAAACGAGCCAATCAGCGATTTCTTACGTCTCCGCTGGGACCTACCTTTTCCGTTTTCTAACGAGCTGTAGTCCAATCAGCGATTCCTTAGGTCTCCGCTGGGACCTACCTTTTCCGTTTTCTAACGAGCTGTAGTCCAATCAGCGATTCCTTAGGTCTCCACTGGGACCTACCTTTTCCGTTTTCTAACGAGCTGTAGTCCAATCAGCGATTTCTTAGGTCTCCACTGGGACCTACCTTTTCCGTTTTCTAACGAGCTGTAGTCCAATCAGCGATTTCTTACGTCTCCACTGGGACCTACCTTTTCCGTTTTCTTAATGTCGTTGTGTTTTCGTTAATGTTGTTGTGTTTTTCTTAATGTCGTGTTTTCGTTAATGTTGT